TCTTGGCCATAGACCCAAATAGAAAACATGAATTGATGTCTGCTGATGGCTGGTTACTACGGCAGTGTCGCTGTTGCCTCTGTGCCTTCGGTATGTACATAACACAGCATCCGCCAAACAAAACGTGACAATTGTGACCCAATGGACCTCTTCCTTTTTGCAAACATGCACCACCGAAAAGGTACAACAGAGCACAAAATTATAATGACTGTAAATGCGTTAAAATGAAAGTAATCGACGGCACCTCTCTAGCCGAGCCGAAAGAGATGCACATATGTATGTGGATATGTGTGTGTGTGCCCGCTAAGTAACACACAGCAACCATTTGATTTTGCTGCAGTAGCCCGAATGACTGCAAACAGAAGTTGATGCCTATAAACGAATGTGAAATTGAATTCTTTTGACTTTAAATGGCTGGAAAAAATGTTGGCCAATGCGTGCCAGTCTAGTGACATGAAAATGTGGTCAATAATAAATTGGTGCACTGGGATTAGCTTTTACTGAAGCGGAGAGAATGTTCGAGGTTTGTGATAAATGTGGATGTAATTGCTTCGTAAATATAGATTCACAACAAATCGAAAGACTTAAGATACGAACATGAATTGTTGAGCATTCAATGTTTTATGTTTCATTTGTATGCCCACGACTGTGAACTGGAGTAGTAAGAATTCAGTTCAGTGTTATTCCTGAGGTTAACACATTTTATTTCAATACATAAGCTGGGTATTTTAGCAAAATGGATAGCGAAGGGAAAATAAACAATAAATATTAAGGGAACCCCCCCCCCCCCCCATTCCCAATTTGTTATTTTTAAGATTTTAAATGGGCTGGTAAATGAATACCAATGCTTGTTAATGTTTGTAACTTTGCACATATATATTTGAAGATTTAAAAAGGAAGAAAAATAATTTACAAAAAATTTTTGTTGTTGTATTGTTGTTGTTTTTTGTGATTAAAGAAAAGTCCTTATTTTAGATGGCGGGCATGATAACTCCTCACTGGAACATCGGAATCCGAAAATTCCAACGGTGTTAGAAAGAGTACATGTCTGGCTCTCGTATGAACTAGGATTATTGACTTCGCTCTAAAATTAACAAAATGGCGGACCTTTGAAAAAATATTTTTGGAAAATCGCCGATTTTTTACCAAAAACCAAGTTAAAAAATAAGGAAGATCTTCACCGATTGGCTTTATCCTAGTTCATACGATAGCTATACATTCACAGAGAAACGTGTAAAAATTTGGAATCGATTGGGTTATTAGTTTTTGAGTTATCGTGCCCGCCATTCGCAAAAAATGTTTAGAGAAAAACGCGTTTAAAGTTTGAGAAGCCCTTTAGCCGTCACTTGATGCTGACACAATAAATCGGCTATATCTTCAAGAGTTCTTGAGATTTTCAGTTGAAAATTTGTAGGGACATTCTTGAATTAGGGTAAATTCGAATTAAATCAAAAAAATTTTTGACCCCGAGAATGGGGGGGGGGGGGTCCTTTTAAATGTTGCATAACTCTATACGATTACCTCGGATTAAGCCACCAACGACCAAATTCACTTAAAAATCTGGGCTAGTTAAAGAACAGACCGTACGCTATATTTATTCAGTTGTATAACTTAATTAATAAATAATTAAATAAAATCCTTCGTAGTACGGAGTATTTCTTTGCAACACTTTACATATTGACAAAATATACGCCTGCAGCCACAACACAACCAAACTACAGACATTTCATAAAATAAATGAATCCGTAATTATTGTACATATCGTGTTTGTTGTTTAAGACCTTTGTTTGCTATCATGATTGAATACATAATTGCGATAATCGTTCACTGTCTGTTTGTTGAATTGCGTTAATTACTTGCGCGTTACCTGTACGAGCGGATCGTAGTACCTACTTAATATTAGCTGGCATATGTTTGGACATATTTTTTTAATTTTGCATTTTTACTTTGTAACATTTAGCGCTTGTTTCAAATGTCGTGTAAATCGATTACAACATTTTCTGGAATTCATACTCCCTTTACGGATTTATCTGTGCTGTTATTTTTTGTTATTTTTTTATCGGAAAAGTTTTTTTGTTAGAACAATTGCAATCCAAAGTCAAACGAAGTATTTGTCAGTGTCTACTTTATCCACAACACGACGCAGTCCACCGTGGACAGCAAAATGATAAGCAAACGTTTATTGTTTATTTAAAATTAATTGTTTGGACAATTTTCTATTGACACTGCTGTCCATTTGCATAAAAACAATTTTCTAATAATCATAAATCTTAACAAGAAAGTGTGTTATTGTCTTGTAGTTTGACTTTTGCTTAATTTGTTCGTACACCTCTATGAAGTTATATTCAAATGGAGGTTGAATCATAAATTTTGACTTCAAACATAAAACAAGTAAATTTTTATTCATACATACTTGTGTTCGATGGAAGACAGGTCGGCCGAGGGGAAAGAGCTGTGTGTAAACTACCATGGCACAGCCACATAAGAACTTCGATTAGACGTGGGGAACGAAGCAGAAGATAGAAAACTGCCTATCAAAACATAACTTGCACTTGTTTTGCAAAATCACGCAAATGACCTCATAAGCATGCGTAACACGTGAGATTGTCGTACAACCACTAGGGAATTTTAAGTACTTCCATAAAATTAACCTAAACGCATGCTGATGGGCTCACGACGACGACGGCGATGGCAGCAAAACCAACAATCATGACGATGATTACGTTAAGAAGGCGATAATAACGATGATCATGATCAATACTACATAATCGTCACCACTGGCAGCGGGGTATACATGTATCTCCATATTGCTTGACTGGCTGTCTTCTCACACATTAATGTTAATGGACGCCTGGATATAAACGGACAAGTGTATGGATTGTCGACCGAGTCACATACAATTTTCTGTTAACGAAAAAATTCAATGCGTGTCAGTATAATAATTGATCAGAATTTATATTAATTGATTTGTTTAAACCCAAACGCAATATAATTATTAATAATTTATTATTAAAAAACCAATCCACTTTTTATGTTTAAAGTTCAATTGCTTTGAATATGATAGGGGTCCGAGTGACATTAACTGTATTATACTATTGTCAAGCTACACTTAAGACAAAGCTTCTAGGATGATTGAAATTGGAAATCACATTTTGATATAGCCTCAATATAATGGTGCCCGCAAACATTTGGTAGTTTGGGAATGTTTTTCAAACGAATATTACTTGAATTTGTGTTTTATTTTGAGTATTCATTGAGTGGCGAATTCACTTACCAATAAGTTCCACTTTATATAGCAGCACCCATATAACGATACCTCTTAAATGTCTTCATTTAGAGGAATATAGGCACATTTTCAACAAACTCAGATGTTGTTTGATATTTGTTATTATTATACAGCCAGTAACTCCAACCGAACTAGTTCTTATTATATATTTTTGATTATTTTTATAATTTTTGTGGCAAATGTCGTAGTAAAAATTACCAACATCCGTCCGAGATATTATTCTATATATAATAAAATTTCGGGACCTGTGTGGGTAAAAAACTACTACATGTTTTATATATATATATAAAAACTTTTAAAAGGTGTTCAGTCGTGTAAATTGAAGATTTATACACGTTGTACAAATGTTTGAAAATATGACGGCCTTTTATATTTTTCACAAAGAAGATACACAGACCAATAAAACATTTTTGCGCCAATAATTGTACGAAATTTGTTTTTCTTCTCCTAGATTATGTTTAACTTCTTTTACAACTTTTTCCCTGATTTGTCAAACTACCCCGCATTTATGAGTAATACAAACAATGCCATGCTGTTTTCTATGTTCTTGTTGTCGTCAGCAAGCTCTCGTCCAGAGGCTTCGTATTGTAGTAACCATAAATGAACGGTATTTCGCGTTAAAAATAAATGACGTTTTACAATTTGAATATACAAAGTATGAATTTTAATATTTGTGTGCGTCCAAATGCGCACGCACAAATATGTATTTCTTCTGCCTCCGCCACGGTGGTATTAAGCCATGGAATTCTTCATTGAGCTACCAGAAGCAACCACGACATGGGGGAAAATATTCATTTGCAGTTATTAGAGGTTTTTTGTATAAAGTTCTTTTATTCGTTTTTTTCCTCTATTGAATTTTTATTTAATTTGCCCGCACTAATGTATCTTGACGCGACTTGATTGGTATTCAAGGCATTTGTTGGACATGCGATATTAATAAAATTTATTAAAAAGTTGTTTTCTTTCTTATTGTTATTAAAAAACTCTTTAAATTTGATGGACATGTGACCTGCCTCTAGGAATGGTTGGGTTTTTTATTTGATTTGTGCTTTAGATGTCTCTGAGGAAGTTATATATATATATATATATATATCAAATTGGGTATGTTCCCAGATGATTTTAGTTCAATAATGGCACAGTTCTCAATTTTCTGAAAAAGCTGAAACTGAAACATAAATTCGCCAAACACAAATATCTCCTTTTCCACGCATATATGTACTAAAAAGCTTTAAGATCGCAAGTGTTCGGTCCGACAGACCGACAAAACAAAACGTTCAAATGCGTACAAATAGACACAATGTAATTATAATAAAAATCACATAAACATAAGATTTGATATGTAAAAAAGCTAACCAGGGAAACGAACGCCAGACAGCGGAATAAATATCGAGGGAAGTCGGCTGTGATTACGAACAGCATAAGTCTGAAGCGTAAGTGTTATAAGTAACACTTATTTTTAAGACATGGCTGTTTGTTCAAGTTTTGTTGCGGCTTATTAGACAAATGATACCGGTTTGAGTAACTGCCACTTTTGTCTCTGGATTCCTGCGGTATTTTTGGTTAGATATTTGTGGCCGCACAAAATTTATGGTGATGAAAAGATAATTTCAAAATCAATTAAAAATATTATTGCATTTTTAGTAGAAAATTATGATAAGTGTCATGTTTGAACGTTGCTATTAAAACTAACAAGTTTGTTTTGTTTTTCCTTCAGTCTCCCGAATTGGATTATCGGCATGAGCTGATGGGACGTTTGCACAAGATTGAACCTGATGTGGAATTGGAAGTATTGACAACTACTGCCACGCCAACACACCATCATCATTTGCATCACCACCATCATCAGAATCTGAATCACCTGCCTCAACAGGAAGAGGGACAACAACATCACCAGCAGCCACAGCAACAATATCACACCCTGCATAACTACACCAATAGCAATCATCACTTTCAACAGCAAATATCTAATAGCAATTGCAACATCAACAATAGCAGTGCCAGTAGCAGCAGTAGTAGTGGTAGCAGTGGTGGTGGTGGTGCCAACAACAATGACAACAGCGCGACAGCAACGGACAGCAGTCAGCTGAACGATCAATGGCACTCCAGTGGCAACGGCAACCATGATCAGACATCTCCATATTCGGGGACGCCACTTTCAACGGTGGTTTCAACAGCTACAACCACCATTGCGGTGCGCACACCCACCCTTTCCATGGGACAGCATCCCAACAATTCACCTCAGCACACCAACACAGCCATAGCAATTGCAGCCACAACTTCCTCGGCAACACCCGCCACCGCATTTAACTATGAGGCCAACACTCCCTACTACAGTACGGCTTCGACCAGCGATAAAGAATACGTATATGGTAAGTTGGGGTGCATCCCATTTGTCAGTACATAAATGGTACATATTTCAGATGTATACATGGATGGCACTGAATTTATAGATCGATATTATATAATACTTGAAACAATACAAAGATCCACCTCATGTCACTCGGTGGTGTCTGCGAAATTTATAAAAGAATTAATGTCTAGGCTTATCGCATTCAGTGATGTAAAATACCGATTCTGGGGAAATAGAGCCTTAAAGTGTTACTATGGTAATACTAAACAATACTGTAATATGGAGACTCCAGTAAACATCTCTTGACAATTTCCACGTGGTGACCGATCACCTTCGTCGATCAGATCCATAACTGATGTTGGGATCACAATTGATCTGTATGCTAAGAACTTATAATACACTCACAACATAGTTGTGTAGGCAATGAATAGTAAAAAGTAAATCTCTTACTGACAATTTATGATATTTTGTTAATATTTTGAATTGCCGTTCTTTCACTCAAGACGAATAAAAAAACACATCATTTACGCTGTTCTGTTCAACATCGCCACCTCTTGTTTCTAGTTTTTAATTGACACAATCTTTATTATCTAATCATATTTTAGATACCAAAAATAAAGAGGCTACCTGTAATATGTATCATAACATCGATGATCCATATGGACGTCCTGCCCTATGGGAAGAAATAGCAAGCTCAATACAAAATATCGATCCTGTTAATGCTCCGATTTTAGGCTCAACAACGACAAACGCCCAACAAACAGCGCACCAACTGAATAGCATTTCTCATGAACGACATCATCATCACCATCAACATGCCAGTACTCCCACAACTCCATCGATAGCAGTCGAGGCCAATACTCTGCTGCCGCAGGTTAAAATTGAAGCAATGGATGACCCTTTACTCGAAACTTTATCCACGCCGGTGCTCAGTCCCCTGGATATTAAAAAGGAGAATGTATCGAGCAGTCTGACAATGCAACAACAGCACCCGACAACACCCACACAACACTACTATCCGCAGCATGGATATGACAGTGCCATGGCAACGGAACATCAGCCACCATTACAGCATCAGCAACAGTTGCACCATTTACAGCAATCACAACATTTATACCAACACCATCCTAGTTTAGCGGACGAGACACACCATCATTTAGTTGGCCTCTTTCCCGGAACCCACCAGCCTCTGTCACAACTTCAACAGTCCACGGCCCAACACCAACAACAACATCCTCTGCTCCACAGCAATAGCAATAGTCCAAATCAATCCAATCGATGTAGTAGTGCGGCGAGCAGTCACAATGCCGAAATAGGAGTAGGTGCCAACAACAGCAGTGAGGTAAACACCAATCTTCTGTCATTGAATGGTACGCCAGATCCCTTGGCTACGTATCAAGCGCAGTATGGCCACGGCCACGGCTACGTAAATGATGGCCTAAGTATAGCGGCGTCAGCTCAACATCATCCCCATATACAGCCGAATCAACAGCACCAGCATCCACATCAACCCCATCACAATTATCCGCAGAGTCAACACCAACATAATCATCATCAACAGGGTGTGCATGGTACAATAACAAACGCCCCGCCACCATTGCAAAATTTGAAAAGCCTGAATAATGGTAGTCATAGCAGCAACAACAATGGCAATAATTATTCCAGCACCAACACCCCATACCCGTGGCACAGCAGCAGTCAGGTGAGTAGCGATTGCAATTTGCCAATATGATTAAATTACATTCCTCTTGTCATATTTACATGCATAAATATAGCAGCTGATAAAACAGAATATATATTTGTAACGGATCTGAATATGTTTTGCTTTTTATCTGATATTTTACAGTCGTTTCATGGCAAATACCAAATACCGGCAGCCCCTCCGCCAACACCGCACAACGCCATGCCAAATCTTCAACTATGTCCACCAGCTTCGGTGCCTGTAACGCAATCGCAAACCGGCCACAGCAGCAACAGCTCCAATAGCAATGCCCGGCATATGTTCGTATCACCTCTAACACCTCCCAGTTCTGATCCCGGAAGTCCGGGTAGCTCAATGGCGGCCGCAGCACATGCTGCCGCCAATCAGCAACAAGCTCGACGTAGTACACCTCCTCCGCCTTACCAACACCTACAGCAACAGCAGGGCCATCCACTTTCTTCAATTTGTCCCCAGCTGGTAAATCTAAATTCCGGTTCAATAGCGGCTACCTCTACTGGTCACCTACTGAGTCCGGGACGTACACTAACTACATTGGGTCATAGCAATAGTGCTACATCGTCGTCTGCCAGTGGCAGTGCGACCAATCATTCAACACCATCAAATACGACACAGAACAGTTCGGCGACAAGAGGCGGCACTTCTGCGCCGACGACACCTGCTCACTTGGCCAATCTCATGGTGCCAACAGTGCGAACTGTACGCTATAATCGTCGGAATAATCCGGAATTGGAAAAACGTCGAATTCATCACTGTGATTATGTGGGTAAGTAAAGAGCGCCTTTGGTGTGTAACGAGCATGCCAAACAATCTAGGGTTTCGCATGGGGTAAGCCAAACCATAACGTAGCATATACCTGTCTGGCTCTCAGATAATAATCGTATGAATAAAGGAAATAGTCTTCAATATATGAACATGTCGAAGAAATGTTTAATGTTAATAATATATTTGAAATAGTTCAAATTCAAGTTCAAATCTGATTACAAAACTTTACCAACAGAAATATAATTTTCTATACGGAAATATATTAATTGGGTTCAGTCCAGCGATTATTTCCCACATCATGTTTTGGTGAACTGATTATTTTCTAATCAAACCAAAAGCATTGATTGACCGGCATATGTACATATGTACATCTTGCAGTGGCTACCCTACCCCTGTACCTTATCCACCAAGCGTGGGAAATTACCCTCAGTGGCTTTCCTTATAAAGAATTCACATTGGATTCACTCTTGTCCGACAATTGGCTGGCTAAATATTTAGCTTGTTTGCCGTTGTTGTTTTCCTTTGTCAATTTTCACAGCAAATATTATTTATGTCGGAGCCGTACATAACTTTGACCATAATGCGATACTAATTAATACATTTTTGCCATATTTGTTCGGCATTAAATAATTAATTATTGTGTTGTGCAAAGCACGCACTTGGTGGCGTTGACCATAAAAGGTTGCAGAAACGACAGCACTACAAAAGCCGCTCTAAGCTGCAGCAACAACACAACTGTGCCGCTCCGTTAGCCGTACTGTGTTAAGTAATTACCACTTAAATGATAATTGATTAAATGTTTAGGCGAAAAAATGTCACACGCTACAGACAGACATAGCCCCCAAAAGGCAGAAATGCCTAAATGAATTGGGGAAAAATACACAACAACTACAACAATAGCGATAGCAAAAACAAAGCAAATGCATACATTTACCATAAATCTTAAGGCGATCTTGCAGCCAAGAGTTATGGGTTTACACCCACCCAATGTTGCTCTTGTTCAAGTGTTAGGTTTTTCTCCGTTTTGCAACACTTTAAAATGTTGATAGGTGACTCCGCACTGCACTGCTGCCCGCTCCCTACTTGCTAGTTTGTTTCATTTGTCACATGTTATGTTTCGAAAATCTGCCTGTCCTGCTGTCGGTTCTTTCTTCATTGTTTTGTGTGTTCGGTGTGGTGTTGTCATTTCTGCTCGTGTTGCATGTTTATGTGTGTCCAATCAGTGCCTCAGATCACCTAGTTTTGGCCGTTTGTTTGTCTTGTTGTTTTGATGTGGCAACAAGTTGAGGAGCAACAAAAAAGTAATATGTACGCTCATACATACATGCTGCTTATGTGCTGCTTACACCTCTAAGACTGGCTGTGCACAGGAGACAATCGAATGGGGTGACCAGAAAAAAGTTGATTTTCTGCATTAATGTCATGTTATACAACTTACGGTCTTACGGTGGGACATCGACTACGTCTATGAAACAACGACTCGTCGATGAGACTAAAGTTAGGAGACATCCATGGGCTTTCAATGGTTTTGGACAAAATTGTGCATGTTACACATGACAGCAACAAAGCACACAATGTCAAAATCGTTTTTGTGCCAGGATTGTAAAACAAGCGGTGTGTGTGTGAGTGTGATTTTAAAATGTTTGTCCAATTAGGTCAAGTAAATGGACTAAGTGAAGAATTTTGTTGATTAATACTAATTTAATATTACTTTTGGTTGCAGCAGCAACAATGTAGTAACGTTTATTTTTATTTAAACCGTCGATAATTACGTTTGGACAATTATCCTTCGATTTAAAGAGGCCACTTACCCTTAAAACTGTAATTATTATTTATACGATGAAAATTAGACATACCATATTTTCGCAATTCAACAAATGTCATTATTGAGTTTTGATGAATCGAGTAAAATATAAAAAATGTAAATACTTAACAAATGGTGTACATCCTGTACGAACGGGAATGAATTGTATCATCATATGTACTCGTATTATTGTCTGATTGGAGAATGCTGCTTTGGAAAACATCATATTACAACAACCACCTCCACCTTTGCTAGCCGACAAGTTCAACGATAACTATGAAAACAAACCATAAACGAGGACGCCGTCGGAGGCTTGTGCTGAAATTGGCTAAATGATTGTCTTCAGAGCACATGTGACACGTTTGTATTCCAATTTTGGCACATAATGCCGGTAAAGTAGACACAGCATATCTAGTCTGTGCCTCTCAGTTCGTCAGACAGACAGTCAGTCCGTCCGTCCTTCTGTCTGTATGATTGTTCATTTGGCTGTGTGCAAGCGTGTCTGTCGTTCGTGCTACCCGAAGCACAACTCATTCACTTAGCTACCAAATGAAGTTATTATGACATAAATGCACGCATCAGATTGTTAAGATTATAGATTGACATCTGAAATGCATTGTAAGGAAAACCAGAAGAAAAAACAATACACTTACACATACACATGCACACGACCGCAATGAGTGCTGTGAATACACTGCAACAACAATTCAAAACAAATACGCTGTGTTTGAAATGTAGAAGTCGTAGCAGTCGCGACAATAGGTGTGTCTGGTTACCCTAAAGTTTGTAACAATTGTTACAAATTGTTACTGGAAGTCGTCTGTTAACCCAAAAGTTCTGCAAAAGAGAGCGGTTGGAGAGAGAAATTTTGACAGTTCTTTCAGTGAGAGTTTGCAAATTCTTGCTGGAAAAATTTCTTCTTGCAATCTCTTGCAACTCTTCTTCTTCTCATACATCGACATTCAATCAGATGTTTTCTATTGTTTGTTTATTTATTTTTGTGCTTTCAATTTGAAAATAATTTTTTTTGGAATTAGCAAGACTAATTGTTTTTGGAGAAAAACTTTACAAAACGAGAAAAACGTAAGTATTAATATGTAATAGGAAAATAAAAGACTATTTCCAGCATTTTTAGAAAAATGACGGAAGAAGATCAGTGTGTCTCTGTAGCCAGTGGCAGTAAATTATTAAGCCCAAATATGGATTTGGATATGCAGAAAGGTAGTTATGATGGTTTCCAACTTATTTTTTTACATTTCTGTGTGAAAAGTAGGAATGGTACAAAATATAGCTCAAAAACTTGTTAAACTGGTTGTGTTTTCTTTCTTTTAATTCTTTATAATGGCGGACAAATTGGTTTGTTTTGACAAATCAGCTGATTAGTTGCAAGCTTCTGCAGGGATGCCGTCTGTTTACTTTTCGCATTTTTCTTGCAAAAGAGAATAAAACTACCTTACTCTCTCAGAAAGAAGTTACTGGACAATTCCTGCAGGGAAAGTAACCAGACACACCTAATAACATCATACCTCACACAGCAATCCGTACAGAAAAAATATCAGCTTTCATGCGTACCAAAGTGTCCGCGAGTCTGTCCAAGTGTACACAAGTCCGTCCAATGTTTGTCCATTCGGCTCTTCGAGCGACCGCTGGCTGATCTAACTTAAAATAGCTTTGTCTTCTTGGTCAGATTCTTACGGTATTATTAACCGGGTATTGTAATGTTAAATATAGAAAGAAAAATTACAACAACAACAACAACATGATAGAAGAAGAAGAAAAAAACAGTAAACTGAAGTCGACATTTCAAATATTTTGTACGTGCAATTGCCATTGACAGTCCGACGAACAAAATCTCCCATCAATAGTGGGTTGGTGGTTTACGGTGGTGGTAGTGAGGAATGCATTTTCTTGGTTCAGACAAGACAGGCGACAGACCATATTGACAATAGAGACTACTGACTAAACTCACATATATGGCTAAATCCATACAACAGAATAGCAAATGCATTGTCGTCGTCAACCGACTCCTTACAATCATAATTGAGTTAATAAATGTTCAGTTTAGCCTGCTGGGGGTGATTTCAAATTGATTCGAATCAAAATGCGAGCATGTATTTGTATTTGATCCTTAATTAAATGACAATATTACGCAAAATATGATTGTAAGTTCTTAGGACCTGCAAACTATTCGTATGCCGAACGCATTGCTTTTGCCCGACGGTAAAGAAGCCTTTTTCTTACCAAATGATCCCTGTCAGCAATCGATAAAGTACAATTGTAACCCACAAAATTAACAAATAGAATTTTGGTTAGATGATAGTTCTCCGCTACGGCTACCCTATCATCCATTGCTTGTCGTGTGTAGCATATCTACGGAGTCGACAAACACCTTCGTTCTCTCTGTCATTTATGTCTATTCTGTAAATGTAACGTGCCTATAAAGTATGAACCAAACAAGTGTATTAACAATGCCTGTCTTCGAAGAAGTCAAATTAAAAAACACACACACACACACGCACACACAAACGTTTTGTAGACATAAACTGGGGAAGCAGATCATGGATGCGTAGCACGTTCATTTTATTTTGAACACAGAGAGGCACAAATCATTGTCCGATTGTTTGTTTATTTGCTCCATTGCATGCGAGGAGATGTGTGCTAGTTAGTTGGTTTCGTTTTTTCCTACTTTGTCGGAGATTAAAGCAATGAGGTGCCAAAGTAGGCACAAAGGAATCCAGCATCGTTGACACCACATATGGAAATGATACCAAATCCAATGGATATTGGCGAAAGTCCATTCAAATTGGATAAGATATGTATTTTACATGTCACTTGGATTTAAAATATTTCAATTCGAAAATAAAATATAGCATACTTAGGACTAGTACGTCGCGTAGAAAACCAAACTTAAACCTCTGGTTCGAAGTCACCTGTTACTGGAACACTGCTTTGGCTAACTAACTACACAATTTGCCTTATTCTGCTGCTGTACATATTTGTCTTGGATTTTCTCAATATCCAATTGACCCAATAAACAACCTTAATTTGTGTTATTTAAGCCAAAAATGTAATGCTTGCATTCAAATAATATTTGTAGTTTGTTGTTCACCATGCCGAGTGGCTGCAGCCACCACTAACTAATATTTCCAATATTAACCATATCAAGATGCAAACCAAGCAAAAATGTTAAAGTCAAATCAGCACAAGAAAACAAACCCCAAATACCTGACCATGTGATCACTATTTAGAAACACACAAAAACATAATAATATAAGACTTACTCGTACCAGCAGCCATCGAGGTTTGCTGTATGAGTTCGATTTGACGTGCATGCCTCTCGATTAGTGTTGGCTTCCCCTTGGTGAACACACAAAACACGACAAGCAACAGGTTGCCAACATTCAAATAACATGCAACAAACACACACACAGGTGTATTCTGCACACGACGTCATGGCTGAAACTAAATTGCAATTTACCACAAATAAGGTGGGCAATTCCGAGAGTATTTCGTCTGTCAGTATCAACACAACACAAAGCACAAGACAACCAGAAATACTTCAATTTCCAATTACAATTATCGGTACTCTTTTAATGAAACAAGCCAGGGGTGGCGAGAAGAACGGCAGTGATGCCACAAGAGTCGTGTTATTGTGGTTATATATGTATTGCTATTACAATTATTATTAGAAATGGAAATGTGTTTTTTTATTTAATTTATAATTTGATATTCCAATTCCTATTCCATTATGCTCGTTTCAAATTGTTTTGCTTGTTAACCTTTCTAATATTGATTCCTTTGTTTTCTTGTCTCTTTTTGGCAGGTTGTACAAAAGTTTATACCAAAAGTTCACATTTAAAAGCACACCAAAGGATACATACAGGTGAGTAATTTCTGATTTATATGTTTTCAAACAGCACTTTAAATTAACTACACCTAAGTCTGTTTTTACACGGTAGATTGGTTCCAGAAGAAGCCGTGTAAAAAAAGACATTGATCTTATACATAAAGGGAATTCCCCTAAATTGGTGATATTCACATTTGCTTTGACCAGTAAAAATTGTGTGTACGCGCTAAAGGGGAATTCACTTAAATCTTTAAGCTAGTGTTATACTATCGATTGTTTTAGACTTTTTTCTTTCATAAATAATTTTTTGTGATATGATCATACTTCGCAAAAATTAAATTAAAAAAAAAATAAGTACATAAAATTTCAAATCGTGCTAAATGGAATGAAATCGTCGTGTTATATCAAAACCGTGTACAAAAAGACCGTGTAAAAACAGACTTAGGTGTATATAATACGCGTTTGTGTCTTAAGTCTTTCGATTTGTCATTAAAAAATATAACATAAATATTATGTAAGAAATCAGTAGTACATTTGTACTGTTCATGTTTATTTTTCTTTTAATTGCCTAATTTTATAGATATATATATATATATATATATATACCTTACGTTTGGGTAAGATTTTTTTATTATACTTATATGAAACAATTTTGGGCGATCAAGGTATTTGTAAATGTCACCAAATGTTGCAAACCGAAGGTATCATGTAATTTATGACGGATTTTAAAACTTGTGTGAGAATTCTTTTATGATATATACTTAAGTTTTGTTGTCAGTTCGAATTTATTTATAAACTTGTAAAGACTTTTTATACCATGCTATTATCTTACCATTGTAGCATTTAACATTTTCATGAAGATACTGTCTTAATCGAATAGTTCTTGGCGGAATTTTCGTGCACTTTGTGTCAACTTCCATTATTTTATTATTCAATTGACACTGTTCGACACGAGATGATTAAGAAAAATATTCTGACATTTTCACTTATTTGCATAAATTGCAATAAGTTTTCGTTATTTCTTTGATTTTGGCAGTTTACACCCAAATATTTTTTCACAACATAATTTTTGGAGATACCAATGTATCGTAGCTATTCGGATTTCAGACAACCGCGTATATATTTTGGCGTGTAAAAATACCCAACACATTATTTATAAACTGTTAAAATATCAAACTGCAGTGTTTGCACACACACACACACACACATACATAGATAAAGTGCCATACTAACTCAAATGAGTATTTATGTTGAGAGGCTACATATCATTGATAGAAATAATTGTGATTGCATTTATGCATAAACTATTTAAATGTCAACGGATGGCTAAACAATATTTGCAAAATAAGCCAACCCACAATACTGTCAGCTAATGTTGTGGCTACTACAGTGACAGTTGAAATGCAACAGTAACAAATAATCTATACAACTTCTGTCAAAGTTCACTCAAAACATACGATTGTTGTTCATAGAAGCGAATCAAAGTAAGGTCAAAAGTTTATGCCTCGGAAAAGAGTATCGTTTCAAACGCACGAGCCTAGAGAGCTTTATTGTTTTGAAAATATATTTCTTACTGGCAAATTCTCCAAATTGAAATGAAATGTTGCATAGTTTTGGCTTCAATAGTATTTTTGAAACTTACCAAGGACATAAGCGAAAGGTGATGTTTCCGTATATATGTGGAAGTTACAGTAAGTGAGCTCGTTTTTATCCGTGAATGCGTCCGAAAATACTCAATTCCCCACCCAAAACTACGACTAATTTTCACTGATTTCTCTACCTTCGTGTATGCTCTTGTATAGGAAGTAATGTTGTTTATTCATCAAAATCAGCAGCAATAAATCAACATGAATCCAACTATTAATTATAACTGCAGGATTGAGGCAAAAACAACATTTACATGAGCAATGGTACCAATGACAAGGCACGAAACAACGATTTTATTTGAACAGAAAACAAAATAAATGCTGCAATTTAATTTTATTAATTTGTGCGCTTGTTTCTGCAATCAGGCATATATGAATGAAACGAAACGATTTCAAATGTACAACGACAATTACAGCATGCAGATACCCAAGAAGTGCCAGCAAAGCCACAAGAGAGCAACATAAACTACCATACAGAAAATTGCAAAATAACTTTTGGAGCATGTAATCTGAGTCACAGTCAGATCGTGGAACACCACAAGAACTGGCCAGCAGAACTGGCTACCGTCGATGCCACTGCATATATTCATTCATTCATTTCGTCTATGCCTAATTCTGCACTGGCATCCTTTCCCCTTGGAAGTGGGCATAGGCCTTGCTACAGGCAATACATTGTGCACCAAATAACACGGGTGTTTTTGTCGACAAACATCCGTTCGTTTAGTACCAACAGCCCATCCACATTTGACCAGATTTGTTGGTATTGCTGCATTTTCTGACTTGATATTATGGGACCCAGCCTTTGCGAAGATGCTGGTGATGCAACGACGCAGAGATAAGCCACAAAAGACGTCCAGAAAATCTAAACAATCAACAACGGTTTTTTGTGTTTATATAACATGACCACAAAATCTTATATCACGTTTCGTGAATGATCGCGTAAAACTGAAGGCGGCATAGCGGCCCATAGAACTGAAATTGATAAATTATTTAGTCAAACGGCAGCAAAAATAACAGATTACTGCTTCATCAAATAGCCTTGCTGAAAAGAGGCTAAATGTAGCGAACGAGGTGGGGATGATATGCTATGAGACACAACAACATTTAGATATTATCATTATTGCAACAATTATTTCTCCTCAAACTTTGTTTGGCTACAATTCGAAACCTTACTCAGATTAACTTCCCTACGGAGAACACCTTGTTTTTCGCACTAGCATTACGATATTTAAATGTCTTGGTCTCTGTCACCCACATTATGTCCCCGCATATGAAGGAATGCTTAAGTCTGACCAAATACATCGCCCAACAATTGGATGCAATGATTTCACCATCTGTTGCCCACTTTCGTGCAATGTTTGTGCATTTGTAGGCAAACAAAGCGTCGTCCACACAAATTCCTCTGGACTACCACCAATACGGTTTCTGGTCATGGTAAGTCTTTCTCGGTGTGTTTATGTTTTCTTTTTGTGGATCTGACTTTTTCTGTGTGTGTGTGTATTTTTGTGCCTTCTTCTTTGCAAAGTTTAATGAGCCTCTGACCATGTTCTACAAACAAATGTTGTACGGTGTACACCTTGTAAGACCACGAAGATGAATGGTAACAAAGTCTGCGCTTTCAAAGCATCCTTAAGCGGTGTTTTCTTTGGCGTGTTTAGTTAACAATTGTTCAGCTCTTTCTTTGCTTCTTGATTTGCTTTTGTTTGTGTGCATAAGTAATGCATTTTTGCTGCCGTTTTGGTTGAGGATGCCGGTGTACGACGAGTTCTTTTGTGGGTCACTGTGTTAAGTTACACCACGGAGTTATTCTTTTGTTGTAATGATGGTGGCGGCAGTGGCAGTGGCAGTGGCGAATTTTGTTGGCACAATAGCAGAACCTCTTATAAATTAGGTTAAGTGATGAATGCATGAATGAATGAGTGAGTGTCCGAACAACTCCTCCAAATTACATGACGACGTGTATGAATGGTCAGTAAATTGATGAAAAAACACACACACATATATACATACAATACGTTTTTCCATTATATAGCAAACAATACATCGCAATTTAGACTTTTATTGTATCCGAATCTGATGAAGATAAAATACAGCAATTTTAAAAGTGGATAATGTAGGTTGTTTTCGTTTATGAGGGTTTAATTCATTACAGAAAAAATGCTGATATCATTTATTTGTTGCGTTGAACTGCTACAGTGGCAGTTAAATACGAAAAAAAAAATAAAAATAAATGTATTTGCTGGATGTCCTTAATTTTTTGTTCAATTGACTTATGAGGGCTTGTAGCATATGTTGCCATATATTCTTGTGATAACCTGATTTATTTTAAAAACTGGTGTCCAGTTTCATACAAATATGTATGGAAGTTCTAACATAATTATTTAATTTTTGTTTTGTTTTAATTTTCGTCTATTGATTTGATTTTTCTAATCAAATCAACTCTCTCTCTCTCTCTCTAAGCCTGGCCGGCTGATTGCAGAGCTTAATAAGGTTTTGATGGCCCCAATATTTAAAATGTTTTCTTATTTTTATGTTTTTGTACTACAAATAAAATGTACGCTCAATGTTGTTAAATACCGACAACAACAGCAAAATAAAGTATTGAAAATAATAGGTTTATAATAACATTAAAATTCCAGCACGATTTTTAAAACAACAAAAAGGTGATCTCGTCGAGCTCACCGCAATGCCGTTTTGTTCAAGCCATGATAATGGAAACACCAAGCGTCGGGTTGTGTTTTGGGAAGTAACCCTCGAAATATGAGCCGGAGCTTATGTTTTTATTTGCAGCTCCTCATATGGTTGGACATAAACTTTTTATGACACTTTTTATGGTCTGTCATAACAAACTGATCTACGTTGTGTTGATTGTTTGCTGATGATGCTGATTGTTATGAATATGAAGTGCATGTTGCAGTAAAAAAGCCAAGCCAAGCCATCAAACAGACAAACATTCGTAGAAATTTTTATTGGCAATTGTCATGTTATGATGATTAAATCCGTTGTCCCAAAGCTGAGTTATTTGTTTTTTTTTTCTTTTGGTTAATAATGACGTATTTTTCTCTGAACGATGACAAAATCTACTGGAGAAATCGTTCCCCTTTCTTAATCTTTCACATAGCTGGGTTGGTGGGACTGTTAACCGATTAACTTTCAAATATGGTTACACAAACAAAAATATTTGAATTGCTACAACTCTGCACACAATATTGTAGAACATAAAAGCAATCTACTTAACATTGTTTAGTTGATAAATCAAATTAAATAGGAACATTTCAATAAGATCTATGTTATGTCGGCATCATCCACCAGCATTGGGGTTTAAATTCATGCAATTCCACACAAAATTAGATCACAGGGGAAATACATGGCGATTTATTCCAATTGAAAGAAACTGATAAGTAGTTTTGGACGATATTTAGAAGGATGTAATAGTTTGGATGCAGGGTAAATTAGATCAGCAAAGAATCGAATGTGTTGTTCGACATTTGATGCAGAGCACATAAAATCCATTTCCATGCATTCTTTCTGTTGTATACATTCCCACGTTCCGCTGGTGTGCATTTCAATCGACCGTCGGCACTTTAATATTTCTTAATTAAAACGAACACAACATCAACAACAATTTGTCAGTAGTCATGGCAATAGTTCTATTCCACCTATTCCAAGTCCAATGCTAATCTCTATGTAAAGTCGTGAATAAAATATTCACATTTAATAACTGCCAAATGTACCACGGCTGATCTCTCCGATGGAGCAAACCAGAAAAGCACAAATAAATGCTGCTCAATACGAAATGATAATGGACTTCAACAACTTCAACATGCAATTGGCGACAGGTATCAGGTGGAAAACGAAAAGAGAGCATTGCAGTAACAATAGTCAGCAAGTGCTTGTTCATGGGATCGATTCTACATTGGAGCAATTGACAAGAACATCGAACTGCAACATGGATAGGATTTTGTAAAACCACCACTTAGAGTTTGGTTTACAATGAATTCTAATACGTGTCTAGCTAATCGCACCAGTAATGGCGATGATGATGGAGTAAAATTTGTGTGTTCATGTTCACCATATGCATTTCGGCATGTTTCTCAATAACTTCTTTCGACAGAAAAAAGGCCTTACGGAAAACAAATGAAAAATCTGTAAAAAAAAACAAAATCAGTTATATAAACAAAATTCAGGAATTTGTATTTAAATGGTTGCAAATATCGGGGACATCTGGGAAACGTGGTGTGTTTTATCTTGCTTAATCTTAAATTTCAAAAAAAAAAAAAAAAATATTGATTCTAATTGGATTGGAATTAATTTTTGCACTGACACGTGTAAGTATTATTTTAAAGAATACTAGTACAAATAAATTTCAAAAGGATATTATATAAAATACAGTCTGTGTTAAAAATAAAATGGAGCTGTTCTCCATATATGTGAAGAATGTTCGCGGGAAATACTAGTACACATATAGTGATCTTTCGGTTTTCCAAATGTTTCGATAATATTTACATCATTTGCACCAACTCCAGCAATTATTTATTACATGGTTGTTATTTTTGTATTTAATAGCACTGGGTTGCAATTGCTTCAACACTTACAAAGCAAACAGTAACATTCATGTCATTCGTCTAAACGATGTTATGATTCATGCCTTGCGCCAATTAAGGGTACATTTTCAACACCTACGCATATTTTACGAATTGACAGGATAAGAGACATGCGACCAAATCAAGCCAAACACGCTAGACGCTAGTTCTTTGCGAATGGTTGATCCACGAAGCAAATGTCTACAGCTGATGCAGACCCAATTGCAGCCCACTTAACAGTAATTGTGTCTTATCAATAGTCATTTTTCTTAATAACCGAAAGTTGAGCCTTTCCAGATCTTGCTCTACTAAGGCAGCCACAAAATTAGCCCTATTATTTCTAATGGTTTGCAGGAATAGTAAAAATAGTAATAGTAGAAAAAAAAAACATGAGAGTAGTTAACTTCTAGATATTTACACTGAATGTGGCTGCCGTAATAAGTTTGCCCTGCTGGTTGATACCGAATAAAGCATTCGATATTTGCTACTGCTTATTTGTAGTACGCAGTAGCCACCACTTCGGTAGTGTAAAATGTTGATGTATTTGTTTATTTTGCAATGTGTGTTGACAATGATGTTATTGCCATTATTAGTACTATTATTTGTTATTCCAATGGCAATTATGCGTCCATTTAAGGATTTTATATGACAGACATACTTTCGAGAATAAATGCTAAAATATTGACAACATCAATCGCTTCTAAGGACATGGTTGTTCCTAAAACTAATGTCAAACTGAATGACAGGTTGCAATAGATCTATAAGGACTAAATATGAAGTTAATAAAATCATGTTACACAGTATTATGTGTTTACCGTAATTTTTCTTTTCTAGTAAAACAATACGAAAATGCCCCAATGAAAACTCGGTTCGGTTAATTTCTATAACGCTCCTCGTATTGACTGAAGTAAAAATTACCTCCAATATTTAAACGTCTGTTTGCCTCAGACTTTTCGTTGTTACCCTGGTGTCTTTTCGTCTTTCGTGTATGTGTATCTGTAAATTGAAGCTAAAAGCCTGTCGCACATTATAAGGTACATTTTCAAGCTAAACACACAACGTTTACAAAATTCAACAATGTGTAGGCGGCATATTAGCTTCAATCAAAAAATATCTTTGCCAAATTTAGTTGCCAGTGTTAGGCTAGCTTCTATGTTGTTTGGAAGGTTGGTGGGCCGAAGAACTTCTTGTTGGGATTTAATCAGTGCTTCTCGTTGGCTTGTTAGAGACAAAATATGGTGGTACTGTTTTCATCTCACCGGAGAGCTGTTACCGCCACGACTAGCAACGCGAAATTTCAGTTGCGGGGAATTGCGGGGGCTACGTAACCAAGTACCAGTTATATTTAGGTTGGTTTGTTATATTCTGGTCTCAGATAAGGTTCATTGATTTGATGGCTGCCTGTCGGCAATGGTTCGTCTGGTGGTTGTTGATTTGTTGCTGTATTGGTTTATTTTCGTTCATATTTCTTATGGGTATTTGGCTGATGATTGGCTCGGTTATTGTATTATGTTGGCGGCTGAATGACAGTCGATTTTTGACATTTTCTTGGAAGTTGCGATGATTGGTTTGATTTGTTTTGATTTGCATCGTTAAGTATTATGACAATAGTAATCAAATTCAATTGGTAACAGGGGAGAAACACAATCCCGAAACAAGCAATGGAAAACAAAATCTCACAGTTTCCTTCAGATTTGATTATCTGGTATCGCCAAATGGAAAGTCTATGTTTGATATTTGCTAAAAGGAAACATTTCATGGAATATTGCGAAATACAAACAGAGACGTAGGGGACAATTCACAATACCTATACACAGAATAATTAAGCGCATTCAACATATTGGCAGTTTATTAAACATGAATCTATTAGGTTATTAATTATTGATATTGATTTTAGATTTAAGACACAAACGATAACTATTGAAGCTTAAACAAAATAGACATTTGTTCAAAGTTGTTTTATATATTTTTTTGTTTCGTTCTTTTCAGGAGAGAAACCATATACATGTCAATGGCCGGAGTGTGAATGGCGATTTGCACGTTCTGATGAGTTAACGCGTCACTATCGCAAACATACCGGTGCTAAACCCTTCAAGTGTATTGTCTGTGAGCGGAGTTTTGCGCGTAGCGATCATTTGGCGCTGCACATGAAAAGACATTTGCCAAAAAATAAATAAATAAAAAGGCTTAATATCCTAAACACACATATGTACATACATCGAGACGGCGCACGATGTTTGACAGATATATGCATATATAGACATACTGATGATGTTCACAAATCCTCACATTACTACAATATATACATCTGTATTCACCCCATGTAGGAAACAACAACAGCAACAAACCAACAATCCAAAGGACTTTAGTTAATGTTAATTAAAAAATATTAGACTTAAGATTAGATTTATTATCTATAAATTATAAAAAGATACGGCTCTTTTAGGAGTTGCCACTTTAATGAAATCCAATCGAACTAAAGAAGTTGTATATCGTACACTTTTGTCTGTGAAATACACGTTTGCCATAAAAACTCCTTCATATTCTTCGTTCTTATCAGTCTTGTGTTTCCTAACTTATTTTTCATGATCATAACGATGATCGTCCATTTAGTTCCATCTGTATTGTTAACAATTTACACATTTAATTTTGTTGTATTCAATTACATTTACATATTTATTTTATTTGCATTTTGAAAAAAGAAAAGAAAACATGGAGAAAACAACTCAAATTCGATGATAGTCTAAATTAAAAGATATTCATATATCCTAGATCTAATAGTATTTTGTATTTCCAATGCAATTACGACCACAAATCAAGTGTCTTTATGCAAAACCAGTGTCTTATTAGTTGATAGTAAACTTGTAATTTATATGAATGTTTAAACAAAATCTAGCTATGTAATAGAATATTGTAATGCGAACCATACCTATTTAAAGTTATTGTACTTGTCAAAATCGCAGAGGAAACAAATATTGAATTGTTTGTGCTGAAAATCTAAACGAAAGTAATTATTCCAAAATCAAAAACTAAAAAATCCACCAAAGTGCTGGCACAAAACAAAATAAAAGAGTATTTAAAATATAATGCAAAAATAATTGTGTTTTCTTTACATAAAACATCGAATGCGTACTCAAGATCAAACTCCGGATGCACCGTATTTACGTGATGTTTCTCTTCATTCAATTGTAAGCATATCCACTTGATTTTATTCAAGTCTCATGCATATATGTTTATTTATTTATTTGTCTATAAATATATTACAATTTTACTTTTCAATGTTTCACGATTCGCGATAGGATAATCAATAAGATTATATAATTTATTAAAATCTTTAGACATTCTTGTTAAGGGATCAGCATTAGGATAATTTATTCTAGAAAATTGAATAGCTAGTGATACATAATTACAAGTAGCTCTTTGGGGAATATTGAAGCGAATATTGTTGATTAAAAATTCAGCATTAACGTCACATATTAGTACATTAAAAAGAAATGATATATTCAACATATACACAATTTTTTCGTCGTCGCCGTCGACAATATTCAACTTTCAAAAGTATAAATGTAAAAATATCCTCAATCGAAATGTACGCACAACATGAGTTATTTGTTGCATATTTTAAAATATGTTTAAATACTACTGTTTCATAAACTATATATACTAATTTCAAATCCATTGAATATGTCTGAAGGATAATGTCTATTAATGGCCACATTATTCAGGGAGTGTTGACCACGTGTGTACCATATTTCAAAGTTCTAACTTAAATATTACAAGCTCTATCTTGGTTTCGGTAATATGACATATTGACATAAATAAAACACAATTAATGTTTTTACACTTCAGGCTTAATACTTTTTTGTAGTAGTGTTTTATGGTGAGAACAAGAAGAAATAATTATGAATATTGTCCTTCTTGTACTTTTTTCCGTATCTTAACCTATTAAAGTACAATTAAAAGACAAATTCTACGGCTTTGATTGGTCTTTTCCCGGAAATGGCCCGAGATGACATAGGCAAACTTTGTATATGCCTATGTCATCCCGGAATTTTCAAACGATTTGAAATCACAATTCCCTACTCAATGAATTTGATATGTTTCGTGAGTTTGGATGGATTCCTTGTTGGAAAGTATAGTAGCAACTTCTTTTGATGCATGCATTGCTTGTTCGGATTAATCATTTTCAAAAATTGGTTTTTCCAAAAACAATAACAGAATTAGTTTAAGGCAACCCACTGTTATTTTTCGCTAGACATGAATGTTTTTGCTTATTACAAGAATACCATAAACAAATCCAAACGCAAAATTCAATTGGACAACCATTGCTTTGAAGTTTTACACGAATATTCTGTAGTTGGTTTCCTTCACACATAATTAATCAAAACTTATTGCCATGTTCGCCTTTTCATGTGATATTTATAACCGCACTTTAACAAAGCACAAACATTAACAAAATAAGCGCCACAGCTCTTGGCTTATTTGTGAATCTACTACAACTCGCGGACCACCGAGTAGAGTTATTGGCTAACCTTTTCCAAAAAAAAAAAAAAAACATGTTTTAGTGGGTATTGCATGTTTTTGTTCGGCTCACCACTATAACTAAATTTTATTGAAAAGTCAATAATAAATCTGTAATTGTCCATGGATCCAAGGAAAATAATAAATCATTTATTATGCACCAAAAACAACAGAAATAAAGAACAGCGGACATGGTAAACATGAAAACATGTAGGAAAATAAGGCCAATATCGTTAAATGGCCAACAGAATAAAAGCAAAGCACTCGAGACATCCACTCCGACATGAAACATAAGGCACCCGCATTTTTAAAAGTGAAATACAAATAGATAAACGGAACGGAACGTAACCAAACGAATAAGTCCAATATTCATTCTTTTCATATTCATTCGCGTACATAAATATTTTCGAAAAAAGACACAAATGGAAAAAGAACACTTTAAAAAAATGTCAACAGAACTCAAATCTGAATTAGATTAATCACTCGCTCATTCTCAATTTTATTTGGCCATGGGACACCCCCTACTCCGCCTCATATTAATATCGGATTACGAACATTAATGGTTGTTTCAGAATTATTGTTTGTTATTCATGAAAGCGGCGAAGGCTCGCGATCATATGATAATTAAGGAACAATATAAATGACTTCGATTCAACACAATCTCAACGCACTGTTAGCTAGTTATGAATGTATGTGACCGAATTATCATTTTGCTCATTAGCACTGCCTTCTGAGCAATTAAGAAGCTCAAGCTTAGATTGGTTGGTTCTAATGTTTACTTAGCCGTGGTGATACAGTCGACTACGCTTTACTGAAACGGAAAAAATCCGATGTTTTCACTTAAGCGGAGTTCGGTTAACTAAAAAAATTTCAGTTATCCGAACTTCTCATAAGGGAAACATTTTCAATTTTGTTAATTTTGTCGTTTTGGCATTTCCCCGATGAACGGCACATTATGTAATATATTTTCGTACATCTTTGTTACTTGTATATAAAATATAGAAATGCGGAACGGAGTTTTTTTTAATTTTCCAAATGGTTTTAAAAGTTTGGCCGAACGAACTTAACGTTCTTCGACGTTTATATATACATGATACATACGTTCCATACGTCGATAAATCAATAATTGCAGAAAAATATCTGTTAGGATGGGCTTTGAAGATGTGTATTCCTCAATGCAAAATATTCTGTCATTATCCTTCATTCTCACAATTTTCAGTAATACGGAGTGATTTGAAAGGAAATTGGAATATTTGTGTCCAAAAGTTATTTCAGTTATGCGAAGTTTCACTTATGCGGAGTAAATTGTGAACGATTAATCTAAAATGTAATGGTGCAGGAAATCAATTTCACTTATCCGATATTTTTCAGTTAATCGACTTACAGTAAAGCGGAGTCTACTATATTTCCATGTCGAAACAATAACGGTTAATCAGTGATAGATTGTTTTGTCATACGTAATGCATTTAGTGTGGACCAATACAAAAAACACACACCATATTGACGAGCATCAAGATTGATTATTCGGCTTTTATGTTTTTATAATCGTAACTTGTATTCATTGGTCCACTCCTTCTGTTTAGTGATTTTATATCATGAGAACGAACTATCCGATTTGAAACAAACTTTGTACTACCTATTATATTTACCAAACCTAAATCAAGTCCGAAGGTCGGATTTGGTCCACTTCTTCCCCATTAATGGTAAAAATTTTCAATATTTCAAATTCAATACCAGAGCGAAAGGAATGTCAAATTAGAACCAAACTTTGCACAACCTATTATATTTACTAACCCTAGATCAAGTACACAGATTTGATCCATTGGCTCACTCCTTCTGGTACTGGGGGCGTACTAGATGTGTCATAATGTATGTGTATAAAACAAAAGGTATGTCTGATTTGATCCAAACTTTATAAATCGTAAATAGTGGCCAGATGATGCCTTGCTTCTCGTCCCCACCATCATAAAATAAATGGTTTTCCGAAATCAATAGATAATAATCCAATTGTATATATAGAATTATTATATTATATACCTGAAATGAATGAGGATCAAGAAGGATCATATATTGGACATCCATCCAGCATGGCATGGCTGGCTCAAAATGAATGAAAATATAACAAGTCCAACAACATGAATGTCTGCTAATGTAAAATAATTAATTCATGGTGACAATTAACATGACGTACATTGATCTAAATCAAATCATGGACATTACAGAAAAGCCAATTTATCTTTGACTGAAACCCCCATAGACAACAGTTAGACTATCAGCCCCTTGGACCGCATCTCCGCAACAACAACAATGAAAAGTCTATGGATTCAATTGTTGCAGTAGTATTGTGTTTTGTCCGTCGTGTCAATAGACGGGTAGACAAATAAATTGCACTGAATATTATAAATTGCATTTAATTTTATAAATATATAATAAAAAGCTCACAGACGACAAATGGAAAAATGAACAACAAACACACATTTGCGCTCTTATGTACAAAACAAAAGATTGCGGCCAGTGTTTATTAGAGTAAATGGAAATTACTCACTGGGTATGGGTGATAAATGTCAGGCCATTCAATTTTGTCATTCACGTTGAGAGGTAAATATTTTTGAATTCTGGGATCTATATATATCAAACAATATATATACACACTGGT